TCCCGCTGCGCCGCCTCTCCCCGAGGGGCCGCGCGGGCAGGCGCTCGCTCCCTCTCTCCAACCCCAGCTGCTTGGCAAAGAAGAGCTGCCTGTCTTCTGCCAGCCCCACGTGCGAGCACGATCCCATCCAGCACCAGAAAAAAACACCCACACCAAGCCTGCCCCGGAGCCAAGACACAGCCTTGGGATTCAGCCTCAGGACAGGCGGAAAACCCGCAGCCACTGGCTCCAGACCGTGCCACACGCTCCGCATCTCGCAGCCCAGGCAGGAACCTGTCTGGCCTCCTGCAGTTCTCCGGGCTCCAGCTCTGCCCTCACGTTGGCAGCGAGGTGGAAATCAAGAACAGGCAAAAAAACCCCCCACCCACGCTGCAAAGGGGCAGGGAACGTCGTTATCCGACCTTCCCGCGAGCCTTGGTCTCCCCTGACAGCATGAAATAAGCCCTAAGGAGGGAGACGGGCTGTAACCAGCTCTCGGGCACCGTAAAGCCAAATCTCGGATCCATGGACAGCAGGAAAGCCGAGAGAGAACCGACAGCGTTGTAAGGGTCTTCAAAACCACCCCTAAGCTCACCGCTGCTGCACCAGCAGGGAGGCTGAAGGACTAAATGTCACCTGAACAGGCCAGGAAGGGAGTGACAGACACTGGAGGGGGAGGAGAACAGGTAGAGCCTGATGACACCGTCCTGAACACGGAGAGGGTTACAGCCTCGCCCGAAACCACCAAAGGCTGGGAAGCTGCGTGGAGACACCCGAGAGCTCAAAGGATTCGGTTTGGCAAAAGGAAGCTTGGAGGTGACCAAATTTTCAGAGCAGCTACAGCCAGGGTTTTCCCGTCTGCTCCTGTTGCCAAAGCGACAGATTCCCGGGGCCGCAGAGCCTTCTGCCCGCCTGCCACCACCGTCGCAGGTCACCCCGCGTCCCCACGGGCACGCGGCGACAGCTGTCCCACCACTGGGATCGTTAGTTGGGTTCCCGGTGCGCTTTCCACTACAGGACAGGGAGCAGGGAGCGAGGGGAGGGAGCTGGTACCTTTTTGTTATCCACCACTTTATGGATGTAGATGGTTGCTTGGGTGTACTCACGCAAGTCCCGCTGTTGTTGGCACAACAGCCCCTCTCTGCACTCCGGACAGAGCTCTGCGGGGGCAGAAAAAACCCACGTCACTGGTCAGCTCCCGGGAGACACCCCCACCCACACCTCCCACCCAACACTGCCCACCCACCCCGGGGCCATCACCAGGGGCATCCGCCAAGCTCAGGATCCCCTTAGATCCGACAAAAAGTGCCGTTTCCAGGGGAGTGGGCACCGCTCAGCGAAGAACAGAGCACAGAGAGCGGCACAGGATGCACTCACGGGGCTCGGAGACGTAAACTGCGCTCTCGGGGTCCGCCCCGGCAGCCTGCACCCGGGTGATTTTGATGACGTGATCCACCACAAAGAGTTTTTGAATCCTCTCCCACTCGCTGGGCCATATCAGAGCTATACTGTGCAAAGGAACAAGAACGTGCTTTATGACAGGGAAAAGCCAAGCCCCCAGCTTCCCAACAGCCCCCCCACCACTTGGCTTTTTAGGTTGTTAATGAAAGAAAAGCTGCAACATCAACCCCGAACTCCCGCTACGCGGGGAGGGCCTGTCCGCCCAAGATAACAGGGAGCAGCAGCGTGTTATTAGTGCCGCTGCTCTGCTCCAGCCATGCCGGAGGGCGGATGGAGGAGGAGAGGAGTGGAAGATCTGCTACTTTTAGTTCTGCACCATTACAGAAGCAACGCTACCGAGCACGAGCTCCAGCCCAGCACCCAGCGCTCCAGGGGCAAGTCTCGGGGAAAGCACAGCGTAAGGAGGCCGGATGTTCCGACGCCCCGCTCAAAGCCAGGGTAGCTTATTGTTAGGAACCAGCCAAGCTGAAGTAAGCGATCTTTTCTCCTGACCCAGCATCCTTGGACAATTTAAGTCTCGCTTTCCTTGGAGGCTAAGGTGGGCTGGAGAAAGCATCCACGTTAATTCTGTTCAAGGGGAAGCATTTGCTCCTCGTCTTGCTGCAGCTCAGTGAGCCTCCGGGAACATTCTCCCCGGGAACGCTCCCCGAGGCTTGCAAAAGACAAAGGCACCCTGGCAAAGGCAGCCACCTGACAAGAAGAAACTCACAGTTTGGAGTCTTCTTTGGTCATGGAAGCGTAGGTGAACATGAGGCCGCCGTGGGGGCACAGAAGAGCGCTGTTGCCTACCGAGGACACCGGGCTGCACCGCGTCGGCCTCCTGCAGGGGCAAAGCAGAGCAGTTTGCAAGGCTTGGTCGGGTTATTTCACGGAACCCGCACCTCAGCGGGCAGCCGAGAAGAAAGCACAGGTGAGTGTTTACAGGAGGCATTCCAACGGGGAATATTAAACCACCGTCAACAAGGAAATCGCATCTGCGTTCCCGTGGGTTGCAGAATTACGCTCCTATCTAGCAGAGATTTCCATCTCTTGCCATCAGCGGCCCACGGAAACGGGATTGCGCGGTGACCCTTGCCTGGGATATGGCTCCAGACGGATGAAAAAACTAATCAGGTTACTATCTAATCCGACCATCTGGTTAAGACAGGGTAAACAAGGAAATTCGGTTTCTTACAAGAGATTAAACCGATACGAGTCCCGCAAAAATCAGCTTCCTTGTTTCTCCAAAGGGAAACCACAGGTAACGTCACGCCGCATCGGGATTGAAAAGCAAACCCCTTGCCTACAGCCTCCCAGAAACATATAAAAGCACCAAAAGGCTGAGTTACCTGACGAATTTCCTCCATTCTTCTACAAAGAACTGCGAAACAATATACAGCTCATCCGTCTCCTGGAGGTGAAGAGAGGAAAAAGGATCTTTTTTAATTAATCCCACACTAGAGAAGCGATGACTGCTGGGGTTTTGCTGCAGCGCTCCCTCTCTTCGAGACCTCGGCGTTCTTACCATGACAACTCCATCCAAGCATGCTGGGAAAGCCAAGGAATATAATTTGGGATCAAGTACTAAGCACTTACATCACTAATCTCGTGTTTATTACAAAGTTAATTTAGCTTTGGATCCAATTACCTTTAATTCACAGCAGGAAACGGTCATTTCCCCCAGAGCAGCTGAGACTCCCCAGCTCCATGTCTTCTCTTGCCGGGTCTGAGGCAGATGCACCCCTGCACCCCGTGGGTGTGGGGCGAGACCCTCCCAACCCTCCTCGCCTGCTTCACCCTCCACAATCCCGAAGTTTCTCCCTTTGGCAACAGCACAGATTCCAACCCGTGGCCGTGCGCCCTCACGGGTTTAGGATAAACCGTAGTTTTCCTGCCCCTAACGGTTTGCCGTGGGATAGTCTGGATGAGAAACGGTCACGGAGATCCCAAGAGCTGGGTGACAAAATCCTTCCCGAGCTCACCTATCCTCACCTCCTTCCCCAGCGCAGACTGAGGGGCTCGCTGCCTCTTTCTGCAAGAACACTCAGCACACCCGGGGAATTTTTTTAGTACCCCTTCATCTCATCCAGACCAAACCGCTCCGCTTGTCTTCTCCCCTGAACCTCAACGGGTCTGGATCAGGAAAACTCACAAGTCTTGAGAGAAAGATCCTCAGCTCTTTCTACCACGTTCCTTTGGGAAATTCAAAGAGCAGAGGACGTAGCCTCGCTGCCTGGAGAGACCCTCGTACCCTGAGCTGACCCAGGGGGATGGGCTCCAGCTGCCCATCACCCACCCCAGCTACAAAAGCAGACCCAGCCGGAGAGCACCCTTAGCTACGGCCGGCAGGAGCCAGCAGCTCTCCAGCCCAGCACAAACCGTTTCCTAGCCGAACCCTTTCGGGGTTCCCCGGCTCTGACCCGGACCCGTGTTACAGACTCAGGGCTGGAGAAGGCCCCCGGGAGCGGCAGGCTGCCCTCCCGC